AGGCTGTGCTTAAGGGTCTTTCTAGCCATCCCATCCCCTTTGCTCTTTTCGCTACTTCCTTTGTCTTGTCTTGTGTTTGTGTTCGAGAGTGTCATCCAGAGTGTTCAGAGTCTCAGTAACCTAGATGTGGGCGGACCGATTAAGTAAATACATATTAAGGGTATCGTTCGCTCTACTGATGTATCCTGAGTATTTTTCAAAGACTGTAGAAATTCTCTTTTTAGCCAGCATGTTCCTAATTTAGCTTTCCTAGATGTGGGTTTATGTCTCCTTCTACTGAAGTTTAAACACGCAGTGATTGTTTACATGGTTTATAATTTGGCTTCCTGTGTGTACATCATGGTGAGAGCCTTTGGATGAGCCACAGGGGAGGTGGTATTTGTACAAGATCACATTTAGTGTACACAAAAGGAAGTTGTTTACTCGCATCAGTGTCTTGCTCTTGAGATCCTCTGTGACGGGCGGAGAGTTGCTTTTTTTTTTATAGATTGGCCCATCCAAGCTCATATCTCCCCATATCCTACTAAATTTTAATAAATTTGCCTTCTTGCAATTAGGGGACACTCCTCTACAGAGAATGCAAAATCTGTTACCTTCCCACTGATTCCGGTTTAGGTAGAATGGAAATAACCAATGCAAACTCTCTTGTCATTAAAGACAAAACAAAACCAGAAAACACAAAACCACTTATCCAAAAGCCAGCAGTGAGCATTGTGGGAGAGATGGCTAAATCATATCCTAATTTTCATGCCATGTTGTTATTGCCATGCTTTTGGAATGTTTCTAAGTAATTAGACCTCTTTTACATATTAACCTTTTTTAGCATTATGATATTCAATCACAATTTTTTTATTGTTTATTTTTGAGCTAGAGAGACAGAGACAGAGACAGAGCATGAGCAGAGGAGGGGTAGAGAAGGGAGACATGGAATTGGAAGCAGGCTCCAGGCTCTGAGCTGTCAGCAGAGCCTGACAGGGCTTGAACTCACGAATCGCAAGATCATGACCTGAGCTGAAGTCAGACGCTTAGCCAACTGAGCCACCCAGGCGCCCTTAGCATTAGGATATTCAAAATTATGTATGTTTCCCTGTGTCCTTGGAAATAATGTGTTAGCCACTTTTGAAACCAACACCAAATGAATAAACTAGGGCGCATCTGTACAATGGAATAGTATTCGGCCACAAAAAAAGTTTGAATGATTATAGAGGACAACTTGGATGGGTTTCAAAGGCATTGGGCTGAGTGAAGGATGTTGGTGTCAGATGTTTGCATATTGACCGAGTCCATGTGTATAGTATTCTGGAAACGATAAAATTACATGGGGAAGACAGACAAGTGGCTGCTGTGGTCCCGGGATGGTTTAACCCCAGTGGGATAGCATGAATGAGTGTTAACGGGGTGACAGAACTGTTCTGTCTTGATGGCTGTGGTGATCCCTCAAATACATATGTGTGTCAAAAACTGTACCATCGGAGGTGCTCGAGTGGCTCAGTCGGTGAAGCAAGTGACCATTGATTTCCGCTCAGGTCAGAATCTCAGGGTTCAAGGGATTGAGCCCTATGTTGGGTTATTTGCTGACAGTGAGGAGCCTGCTTGGTGTGTCTATCGGTCTGTCTGTCTGTCCCTCTCCCCTTCCCCTACTTGGTCTCTCTCTTTCTCTCTCTCTCTCAAAAATGAACATATAAAAAATGTAGCACTGTATACATCTACAAAACAGCAGTTTTACCATGTGTTAATTTTTCAAAAGTGAAATAAAATTAAAAAAAAAACAACCAGAGGGCTTGATTATGCTTGTTGAGTACATCACAAATATATTCTGATGATAGTGAGATACGAGGGACTCCTATGAGGAAAATCTTAATTGTGCTGTCATTAAAGAAAAGCCCATTTGCATGGTTCCTGGGTTGACAAAGAAGTGAAGGAGTGTACCTTCTATTCAGGTGTAGTACCTGAGGCTCTCTGCAAATTGTAGGGGAACATTCAAGGTTATGTGTCCCCCAGCAGCTGTAACGTGTCCTCCGGTGCCGATGTAACATTTTGGCTCTTCATTACGGTGATCGGTTTCCTTCGTTTGTGTGTATATATGGTGTGTGACAGTTACGGTGGCCGTGGGAACCGTAAGTTTAAGTTCTGTGACTTTTCTGTGAGTAAAACCAGCCATAACATTGAATTAGTGTCATTCTTCACATTTAATTTCCATGTTGTTGTAAGTGGAAGACTTAATCACATATTGGATAAAAGCGCCATGTTCAGTTTTGACAGCGTGTAAGTGATGGTGATTGTGTGGACTCATTTTGTCCCTTAATTAGCATTAAGTACAGTGAGGCCAACTCGGGAGAGGGTGTTTGGTGTGGCCTCTGAGGGCTGACATTTGAAAGCCCCTGTCCATCCAGCTTTGTGGCTGACAGTAGAAGATTCTGGACCACCATGATCTTTGGCAAATAACCACACACTTTAAATGGAAATTCTGATCCCAGTGCTGGTGGCTTGGTAGAATTGCACAGGATTGGTTAAGAGGAGCATCGATTTGTTTCCTAAAACTGGAGACACCGGTGGGTCTTCAGGCTACAGTGGATCCGACGGCAGGTGGTGCATTGTGGGCTCTGGACGTGATGGCATGGCCGGGTTCTTGTGGTTTTGTAAATCAGGTAGTAGAGGAGTTGGTAAGCTTCCAGGAGATATTGTGTGTGGTGTGAAAGGCATAGGGCAAATCTTTTGAGACTGAGGGAGTCAAGTAAGTTTCTGATTGTCCTCATAAAGGTAATCAGATAGTCCTGTCCAACCATCCTGGCTGCCTTTCACATAGGACAAAATAGGAGCTCAAGAGCCAGGGTGGGAGGTGACGAGTGGAGGTTGTCTCTTCTTTACAAGTCTGCTAACAGCTCTCCTACACTGAGGGTTAGGGCTCTCTTCTCGGCCCTCACTTCCAGCGGAAGGTCATCCAGGGCCAGGGTCATTCTGGTGACCACAGTGCTGGGAGCCTTCAGGAAAGGTCCAAGTGTCTGAAATAATCGTTGATCCTGGTGAGTGTATCTGAAGTAAATGAATTATCTTCGCAGTCCAGGGACATTAGGCCTGGGACTGGTGGAGAAGGAGGCAGGTGGGAGCATCATGGGTGCGGGAGCCCGAGGCCTCTGTCCTTCCTGGGAAAGGACTTGTGAGGCTCCAGGCCACCTTCTGATCAGGGCTGATGGCTGCCTGGCTGCAGCATTTTGTGACGTCCCTGCATGCACGGGGTGGACGGAGAGCCCCTGCTTGTTTGCAGCCTCTCACCATCCCCCCATTCCTCGTAGGGGGCCAAGAACTGCCCTCGTGCTTGGAAGCCCAGAGCCTCTTGCTGCCTAAAGGTCTCTCTAAGAGAGACAGAGACAAAGAGACTGTGTGCACTTGTGCATGTGTGTGTGTGTGTGTGTGTGTGTGTGTGCGCGCGCGCGCGCACACGCCTTGGAAGGGAGCCTGCCATCCAGGCAGAAAGTCTGACCCGTGTCATGGCCTCTCTGATGGATGCGATGGATGGGAAAGACCAACGACCACGATGCCTCCTGTCCCACATATACCCTCAGTGGTTCATGGTCATCGAAGCAGCCTCCGCAGGTCTGCTGCCTGCCTCAGTTTGCCTCTAACTTCGGAGTTACCTAGCCTTGTTTGGAGGGAGAAATCCCGTGTTTCTCACACCGGAAGTCAGCCCTGGCTAATGCGCGAACCAGCCAGGAAAATGTCCTAAACTGCTGGAAGATCATGAGCTCATTTCCCTTCCACTCTGCCTTTTCTTGCAGGCAGCCACCCTTACATCCATCCCCAGAAACCTTCAAAGAGTCCCCAGGTTCTTCTGGACTGCATTATGCATATCAAACCTGCATAATGGACATGTCTACTATATTCCACACTGACTACTGACTGTTGCCCACTTCATTGCTCTGTGGGATCATTTCCTGGGCAGCTATTTATTTATTTGTTTGTTTGTTTATTTATCTACTTATCTATTTATTTATTTATCTATTTTGAGAGAGATGGTGGAGGAGAGAAAGGGAGAGAGAGAACCTCAAGCAGATTCTGCACAGTTTAGATCCTGATGCAGGGCTCAGTCCCACCAACCAAGAGATCATGACCTGAGCAGAAAGCAAGGGTCGGATGTGCAGCCCACCAAATCACCCAGGTGCCCCTCCTGGGCATCTTAAATTAGAAAACAGACCTCTCATTCTGAGGTCAATTTGTTCAGAATTTGCATTTCTCATCCTTTGGTTGGTGATCGTACAGACTCACAAAGGTATGGTTTGAGGAAGGGCTCCCGGATCACACTGTTGAAATGTTTCCTCCCGTGTGACAAGCCCAGGTCTCTGGTACCGATCCATCCATTTCTTTTTGGTAGCAGGCGGTCACGCAGGCCCACCCCGGGAGGGCGCTGGTGGGGTGGCTCTGCTGCTCCCGTTTCACTTATCAGAACAAAGCTGCTGGCACGTGAAGCCCTGGACAGACTAGGGATGATGGAGCAGCCTGATGCTGGAATAGAATCAGCCTTACCCACGCTCCGATGCTCTGATCAATGGCCAAGATGCCCAAGGCTACAGTCAGGTGGATTCCACCGAATCAAACTTTTGTTGCCAAGACTTGCCACACATGCACAAAGGCAGCCTGCCCACCCGAAACTGAGCGTGCATGTGAAAGATTCAAAGGGCAAGACCTGGTAAAGGATATCCCTGTGGGTTAGTATCATTTTTCTTTTCTTTTCTTTTCTTTTTTAAATTTTTTGAATGTTTTTTTTTTATTTATTTCCAGGAGAGAAAGAGAGACAGCATGAGCAGGGGAGGGTCAGAGAGAGAGGGAGTCACAGACTGAAACCAGGCTCCGAGCTGGCAGTCAGCACAAAGCCCGATGCGGGGCTCGAATCCACGAACCGCAAGATCACAACCTAAGCGAAATTCGGACGCTCGACAGACTAAGCCACCCAGGTGCCCCTGTTTTGCTCTTCTAATACAGGTTTTTTTTCTTCTTCTTCACAGAAACCATGTGGAAGTGGGGATCTGAATGCTTCTCTGACATCTCAACAGTTTGAAGAGCAATCTGTGAGTGACAGGCCTTAAAAACAAACACTAGAGTAAATATTAGAAATATTTCTTCCCAGATGTTTGGATCTGTATTTCTTTGCCTCTTCGATTTTTCAAGAACACTGAACCATAGCCACCTACAGAGATGGGCCTGGCAAATTAGAGCGGAAAGAGGTTAATTCAGAGTCTATTGATTTGTCAGATGGGGACAGATTTTTCTAAAAATACAGAACTGCCCTCCAATTGAGTGGGAAAGTAAAGGAGACAAAGCCATTTTGAAGTGCTTTGAAACCTGAATTGGGGAGAGCTTTCAAAAGAGGGCTGTCAAGGGAGACCTAGCCATAGAATCGATTAATTGAATGTCGAAAAAGTGAACGAGAAATTACTTTATCTGCCCTTTCTCTCTGGAAAGACAAAAATTTGAACTAGTGCAAAACTCTGGTTTGAATCTTTAATTGGATTCATTTGATAAATCTTCAAAAATAGAGTTGGACTCGACATGGCGCCCTGTAGGAGTTGATGCATTCCTGGGGAGGGGTGTGAGCCGAGCTGAGGGGAGGCAAGGCTGAGGGTCATGTGTAGGAGACACCACAGTGGGGGCCAGGGAATGGAGAAAAACTACACAGAGGGGAGAGCATTCAAAGTGTGTCCCAGTGGACCCTGGAGGGGCACATGCCTAAGGGATGTGCAGGCCCAGGAGGCCAACAGCTGAGTGGTCATGAACGTGAACTGCAGTGTTTTTATTTCATGCGGAGGAGGTGCACCGGAGTGGAAGGGCTTGGTGGGAAGGGGGAGAAAATGAGGAAGCCACTTTACCTCCACGTGTTCACATGTCTGTTGGGGCTAACTAACCCACAGCTGCATTTCTGCATGCTACTTCCTCCTGCATATTCCACCGCGAGTTCTAGATGAAAGAATCCTGCAGGTGCACCTGGGTGGCTCAGTAGGTTGCGAGCCTGACCCCTGATTTCAGCCCAGGTCATGAACTCACGGTTCGTGAGTTTTAACCCCGCTTCGCGCTCCGAGCTGGCAGTGCAGAGCTTGGGATGCTCTCCCTCCCTCTTTCTCTGCCCCTCCCCTGCTTGCTCTCACTCTCAAAATAAATAAATAAACTTAAAAAAATTAAAAAGGAAAGAAAGAATCCTACAGGAAGTCACTGAGTTGAAGGGTATTTCAGATCCTGATACATTTCGGAGAGCAATAATACCACTTGTGTGATTTTTTCATGGGGGGGGTTGGGGAAAGTTAAATATTGCAAGGATACCATCCGGAATTTTGATAAAATGCCACTGCAAATAATTATAAAGAATGTCAAGGTGGGTGGGGTGGCAGATGAAGCTTGAAGATTTGCCTTTGTCGTGAACCCCCCCCCTTTTATTTTGGCTCAAGCTAAGAGAGGTTTCAGAAATTCTCTCCCTCGATCCCCCAACAATAGACTTAACTTCCTTCTCCATCTGTGCAGATGTTTGGGGAAGTCGGCGATGGCCTAAGTCACCTGCCCAGTCCTTTTGCCTACCTCCTCACCATACACCTGAAGGAAGGCCGCAACCTGGTCATCCGAGATCGCTGCGGTGAGCCTGCGTCCGCTGAGCCCTTGCACCTGGTTCTCTGCTCTTGTTTCTATGTTGCTAGTGCACCTTTCTCGTCTCCTGCAACAGAGCAGAGCTCAGATTTACACCCCGAAGATATCAAGGCATTTGCAGCAAACTATTGAAATACACTGAATCTTCCTTTCCTTCAGTGTTGTTAAATTAATAACAATAACGATCATAGTAATAATGGTAATACTCACAATAATGATACGAGTAAAAATCCCATGAAGTAAGCCACTATAATCCTGGCGCACAGCAACTGCTCAAGAAAATGCTCCCTTGAGTCTACCTTAATTGTACATAAGAAAAGATGTGAATACGTCGTTAGTGTGATGTTATCAAATGTACACAGGCCTGGAGATGCCCTTTGAACCCCATCCCCTGCCTTTGCCGGCATCAAAACCCCACCGGGCTCCCCTCCCTCAGGATGACAGTTGTTATCTGTGTATGATTTGATTTGTTCACCTTTTTCACCTGTTTCTGTGCATTTACACACACACATATGTACACACGAGAATTTTTTTAAGTTTATTTATTTTGAGAGACAGAGAGAGCACATAAGCGGAGAAGGAGTGGAGAGAGAGAGACAGGGACAGAGACAGAGAGAGAATCCCAAGCAGGCGTCCCACTGTCAGCACACAGCCCGATGGGGGCTCGAACTCACAGACGGTGAGATCATGACCTGAGTCCAAATCAAGAATTGGACACTCAACCAACTGAGCCACCCTGGCGTCCCCACACGTGAATATTTTTAATTAATATGATACTATAATGTCCATATTATCCTGCAATAAGCTTTTTTTTTGCTTCACAATATGTACTCAAGATTGACCATGTTTTTCCATGTAAATATATCTCCTTTCTTTTAAATGCTATGTAACATTCCATAGTATGATGTTTTATTTATCTATTTCCCTACTGACAATTGCTGCTTTTTTGCAACTTCCTCAGCAGTGTGAACAATACTGTCATGAACACCCCGTGTATGTTTATGTGCGTAAATAAGAATTTATCTTACAGAGAGTAGCATGTGTTTGAGAGCAGAGAGCGGGGCCAGACTGCCTGGGCTCAAATCCTTCCCTTCTCCATTTTTTGCTCTTTGATTCAAAAAACATTCGTTGGCCCCTCTGTGAGTTTATTTTCTCATCCAAACAATGAAGGTAATAATATTAACCTTCATTATAGGCTATTAGGAGTATTGAAGGTAATAACTTACATAAAGTGCTTAAAACTGCATCTGGCTTCTAGCACTTCATGAAAGCAAACTGTTGAGGTGCCTGGGAGCTCAGTCAGTTAAGCGACCAATTCGTGATTTCGGTTCAGGTCGTGATCTCACTGTTCTTGGGATCAAGCCCCATAGTGGGCTCTGCGCTGACAGTGCAGAGCCTGCTTGGGATTCTCTCTCCTGGTCCCTTCCTCTGCTAGCGCTTGCACCCTCTCTCTCACTCTCTCTCAAAATAAATAAACATAAAAAAAAAAAGCTAACTGGTGTTAGCAATCAGGACAGAACCTAGAAATAGAAGGATCCAGGGGAGACATGCTGTTGAAAGTTTAAGAAATGCTGGCAAACTGTCCTCCACATAGCAGAAAACATGCCCTCGCCTACAATATGTTACTATTGTTGAATATTTCCTTTTCATTTCCAGCATTAATGGTTGTTTAGTGCAGTCTGTTGCTTATGTCTTATTTCTATGGGCGCTTCTGCCCTTTAGAGAGCTTACATTTCCTTACAAGCAAATATATTTGTGTTTTCTTTATTGTATTTTATGTATTTATGTATTTATTTAAAATGTTTATTTTTGATAGCAAGAGAGCACAAGTGAGCAGGGGAGGGGCAGAGAGAGAGAGAGAAAGAGAAAGAATCCCAAATAGACTCCACACTGTCAGCACTGAGCCCCACACAGGGCTTGAACTCAAGAATGAACCATGAGGAATACAAATCAAAACCACACTGAGATACCACCTCACGCCAGTCAGAGTGGCTAAAATGAGCAAATCAGAGAACTCTAGATGCTGGCGAGGATGTGGAGAATCGAGCACCCTCCTACACTGTTGGTGGGAATGCAAACTGGTGCAGCCCCTCTGGAAAACAGTGTGGAGGTTCCTCAGGAAACTAACAATAGAACTCCCCTAGGACCCAGCAATAGCACTGCTAGGAATTTACCCAAGGGATACAGAAATGCTGATGGGTAGGAGCACATGTACCCCAGTGTTCATAGCAGCACTCTCAACAATAGCTAAAACATGGAAAGAGCCTAAGTGTCCATCAACGGACAAATGGATCAAGAAGATGTGGTTTATCTATACCATGGAATTGAGAAACCATGAAATCTGGCCATGTGTAGTAACATGGATGGACCTTGAGGGTGTTATGCTGAGCGAAATAAGTCAGGCAGAGAAGGACAAATACCATATGTTTGCACGTATAGGAGGATTAGGAGGAACTTAACTGAGGACCATGGGGGAGAAGAAGGGGGGAAATGGTGGGGGAAGGGGAGAGAGGCAAACCATGAGAGACTCTTGAATGCTGAGAAACAAACTGAGGACTGATGGAAGAGGGGGGGGAGGGGGGAGATGGGCATGGAGAAGGGCACTTGTGGGGATGAGCACTGGGTGTTAAATGGAAACCCATTTGACAATAAACTATTTGAAAAAAAAAAAAAAGAATAAACCATGAGATCCTCACCTGAGCTGAAATCAAGAGTTGGATCTTAACTGACTATTAAAAAATACTCCCCGATAGTATTTTTTTAAATTTTATTTTACTTAGTAAGAAGGAATTTTTTTTATTCTAAGGAATTGAGTGCCTTCCTTCAGGTCTTCAGTAGAGTCTCCTGTTGCTTTCTATTTACTCTGTTCTGGAATATGAGAAGGACAAAATACCTCCTAGACCCTTCTTTCTCTCATCTGAGTCTGTTAGCTTTTCTTTCTAATTCTTCCCATGTTTTTTTTTTTTTTCCCCATTCAGGGAGAATTCCTCATCTTGGTCTTCCAGCTTACTCATTTTCTTGTCAATTGTGACCATTGTGCTATCTGTTCATGTATTGAGTCATCATTTTAAAAAAATTTTGTATCTGCCTATGATTGTTTCATAAATGAGATGATACCATCTTTTTCTGAGCATACTTAGTATACACTTAAAATCTGCTGTTCCGTGCTTTATCCCTTTGATATCAGTTTGGCGTGTTTGCTACTCACATTTTTGTGAGTCCTTGTATCTTGTATCTTGGTCTTCCAGCTTACTCATTTTCTTGTCAGTTGTGACCATTGAGCTATCCGTTCATGTAACGAGTTGCCATTTTTAAAAATTTATGTATTAGCCTATGATTGTTTCATAAATGAGATGATACCATCTTATTTCTGAGCATATTAAGTATACACTTAAAATCTCCTGTTTCGTGCTTTATCCCTTGGATATCAGTTTGGCATTTTTGCTACTCACTTTTTGGTGTGTCCCTCTGTCCTTGTCCTGCCATGCGTGGATGCTAGTTTTGCTTCCTGTGTCCTGCCTTCTCTGACAGCGAGCAGGGCTAGTACATGCAAGTGGACAGGCTGGGCCAGTAGTTCAGGCGGCTCCTTCCCATTCCCGCCAGTTCTCGCCAGTTCCCGGTTATCACCTGTCACTAAAGCCTTCCTCTCTGGCTTCCTGCTCATGCTCACTCTTGGAGCTTGCAGCCAAGGGCTGTTGCTGGTCACTCCTTGGCACCAACGAGGAGGGGATGGTGCTGGCCCACCCAGCTGCTCCACGTAGGCTGTGCTAGCTGGTTGGCATAGAAACCGATAGTTTCCCAGGCCATTGTCTGCCTCCCGTATCTGCTGCCGGCAGGCTCAGAGCATCCTTGGTTTACCTGCCACACACCCTCATGTTCTCCCACCCAACCCTGCTTCTGAAAACTTTTTGCCATGACTTTCTTCTGCTCATGTTCTGGAACATGGATTCATTGTCAGTCTGATCTCACCTGACTTCCATCTTTCAGGATCTATAAAATATGCTCACTTAAAAAGAATTTTTTTTAAATTAAAAAATTTTAAATTGGGGCACCTGGGTGGCTCAGTCGGTTAAGCGTCCGACTTCGGCTCAGGTCATGACTTCACAGTTTGTGGGTGCAAGCCCCATGTCGGGCTCTGTGCTGACAGCCAGCTCAGAGCCTGGAGCCTGCTTCAGATTCTGTATCTCCCTCTCTCTCTGACCTTCCCCTGCTCATGCTGTCTTTCTCCCTCTCTCAGAAATAAATAAAACATTCGAAATTTTTTTTAATTAAAAAAAATAAAAAAATTTAAATTAAAAAATTTAACTTTTTAAATTAAAAAGTTTATTGATTTTGAGGGAGAAGTAGCATGAGTGGAGGAGGGGCTGAGAGAGAAGGAGAGAGACCATCCCAAGCAGGTTCCAGGTTGCCAGCACAGAGCCAGATGTGGGGCTTGAACTCATGAAACTGTGAGATCATGACCTGAGCCAAAACCAAGAGTCAGATACTTAACCAGTTGAGCTACTCAGGATCCCTCTTTCTTTTTTTAAGTTTATTTATTTTGAGAGAGACAGAGACACCATGAGTGGGGTTTAAGTTTTTTTTAAAGTTTGAAATATGCTCATGTTTCTTTTTAATGTTTATTTTTTAATGTTTTTTAAAAATTTATTTTTGAGACAGAGAGAGATAGAGCATGAACAGGGATGCGAAAGAGAGAGAGGGAGACACAGAATCCGAAACAGACTCCAGGCTCTGAGCTGTCAGCACAGAGCCCAATGCGGGGCTCAAACCCACGAACCGTGAGATCATGACCTGAGCCGAAGTCAGATGCTCAACTGACTGAGCCACCCAGGTGCCCCTTTAATGTTTATTTTTTAAGAGACAGAGCATGAGAGGGAGAGGGACAGAGAGGAGACACAGAATCCAAAGCAGGCTTAGGACTCCGAGCTGTCAACACAGAGCCTGAGATGGGGCTTGAACTCATGAACCATGAGATCATGACCTAAGCCA